GCCTCGGCCTCATGGGGACTGGTGGGGACCTGCATGCACAGCCCTGGCCCTGGCTCAGTCTGCCCCACACCATTCTGGACCCACCCAGAGCGGAGCAGCCCAGCTCTGAACTAGCTGGGACCCATGTGCACAGCCCAGACCCTGGCCTGCCCTGGACCAGCTTGCCCAAGATGAGTGGCAGTGACAGCCAAGCAGAAGCTGCTGCTGGGTGTGGGGGAAAAGTGGCAGCCCTGCCATCACCACCACCAGGACCCTCCTTGCTGTGGTTGCCTGGAGCCTGTGCCTGGGCTGCCCTGAAGCTCCTCTCTACTGTCATCACCACCACCACCAGTGCCGCCTCCAGACTGCCCAGCAGGGCAGCAGTGGTAGTGGAGAGGAGCTACAAGGCAGCCTGGGCGTGGGCTCCAGGCAGCTGCAGCAAAAAGGGCCCAGCAGCGGCAAGCAGGAGGGAGCTGCTTTTCTCCTGTGCCTAGCAGCAGCTTCTGCCCAGCTGCCACTGCTGCTCATCACAGGTGGGCTGGTTCGGAGCAGGCACAGGGCAGGCTGCGGTCAGGGCTGTGCATGTGGGTCCCAGCTGGTCTGGAGCTGGTCCGTGTTGGCTGGGGCAAGTCCAGAGCAGGTGAAGGTGGGTTGGGGTTGTGCATGGGGGTCCCCACTGATCACCATGGAGCCGAGGCCCTTCAGAGGGCTGTGAGCTTTGCTGCTGGGTACTGGTAACAGTGAAGAGCTACAGGGTATGTGGGCTCCAGGCTGTTGCGGGGGAGTGAGAGGGTGCTGACTGGCTTGCAACAGCTCCCCAGAACTGCCTATGTGGCCTGTGGGCTCAAATAATTGCCCTCCCCTGCCCTAGATCCTAGTCCATGTGAAATCCTTCATTAGTATTCTTATACTCTGGAGATTTCCTACCATTTACAAATAAAGGTGTCTTTCAGGAAGCAGGCTCTCCAACAATCTTTAGATGCATTTTTACAGATTTTTCCTGAGGCAACAGTGCGTCTGTTGTCAGTAAAACAAAAGTCATACTCGGGGAAATAGAGACTGCCCTATGCCAAATAAGGAAGCATTAGATCTTATCTGCATTTTCCCCCCATTTATTCATGAAATTACATTGGTCTTTCTTGTCAAGGTTAAAACATTTGCTGTCCACCTCTGGAATGAGGCCACTGGATGCTCCATTGAACAAAGGCTGATGCTGAGCAATCTCTACAAATTTCTTCCAGACTATTTCCTGAGGGTTTGAAATACAGCTTTCGAACTGTAGATAGCTAAGTATTGGGCCCTTATCTAAACTAAATGAGTTCTGCAGTGTCTCTGTATCTAATAGTTTTCTCGCCTTTAAGTATCTGCTGTATATTCTATATACCTATTTTGTTGTTAATAAGACTGTAAACTCCTGGAGAGAAGTTTGGATCATGCTTTAAAAACTGCCAAGAAGGACAATGAAGACTGACACTTAAACTTATGATACCCCAGGTTTGTTATAAGGTTATGTGCAACTGTTGTGTGGGAACTGTTTTAGATCATTATCACACTGAGTTACTAATGCTGTAACTGTAATCATGCCCAGCAGTATCCCAAAGATTCGTGGAGTTTAAGGCAAGAAGAGACCAGATTGGAAAGAGTCCAGCAGAGAGCAACAAAATTATGAGACGCTTGGGAAACATGACTTAAGAGGAAAGGCTAAATGAACTAGGATTATTTAGTCTGAAGATGAGAAGATTGAGGGAGTCTTCAAACATCTGAAGGGCAGTTACAAAGAGGATGGAGATAGCCTTTTCTCTGTGGTTATAGGGGACAGGACTAGGAGAAATGGCTTCAAACTGCAACAGAGGAAACTTAGATTGGAGATTAGGAAGAACTTTCTGACTATGAGGGTGGTCGAGCATTGGAACAGGCTGCCTAGTGAATTTGTGGAATCTCCATCCCTGGAAATTTTCAATAGCAAGTCCGACAGACACTTTACTGGGATCACTTTCCGTTCTATATACTGCTCTGTGCATATCCTTTCATAGCATCTGATGAAGCGAGTTCCTATATATAAAAACTTGTATATAGATATAAACTAACGAAATTCAGGAGATGTATAAAGTGGCAAATCTGACCTGCCTCCTGGAACAGCGTTTCCCAACCTTTTCTGTCCCACAGCACACTGGCTGGACACAGGGTCAGGGGGAGAAGAAAGAGGGGTGGTGAGCAGCCAAATGCCAAGTGGGGGGAAGGAGGAGAGGGTATCGGTGTGGAGCCAGCTGGGGCGCAATGGCAACGGTGGCTGTAGCCACGCCCCCCCAAGATTCTGTGGCACACCTGGACATGGCTGATGGCACACCAGTGTGCTGTTCTGGGATGATCTTGCCTTGAGCAGGGGGCTGGACTAAATTAATTCATGGTCTCTTCCAAGCTCTACTTTCCTATGATCTCATGAAGAATTAATCTAGTCTGACCTCCTCTATATCATAGGCCATTCAATTTCACTCAGTTACCCTTTAACTGAACCCAGAACTTATGTTTGCATACTGTGCATCTTCAAATGAAGACTCAGTGGTTTTCTGGAAGACACCAAGAGATGGAAAATCCACCTTTTCCTTTCTTAGTTTGTTCCAGTGGTTAATAATAACCCCTTTTTTTTTTATTAAAGTCTGTGCCTAAATTCCAATTTGAATTCAATTAGCTTCAGCTTCCAGGCACTGATTCATGTTACGCTTTTCAGTTACTCATACTGGAGGTAGAGGCACTGTTCCTTGTTCTTACGATCCACTAATCTTGCCTACAGTACTGGTCTGCCTTGTTTGAAGATTTCTTTGAAGCCATTCCAGGAATCCTATTGTCCCAAATCAAGTGTGAAGCTGAGAAATGGTTTTGTTTGTGTAAAAACCTTTTCAGGTCCCTTGCAAAGCCCAGGGTTATGGGGTTCGGGATTTGGGATCACTGTAAGTAGCTGAACGTATGTTTGGATTAAATGCGTTTCACCTGTGCTGGGACCTGTGCTGCAATATCAATAGTACAGCTACCATTCCAGCACACACTGCCAAAAAATAAACAAGTACTGGGTCACTCGTAAATTTTGTTTTAAGGTGAATCCAGCAGAAATCGAGCTTGCAGACAGAATGTTCTTTCCAGGGTTTGGCTCCACTGCATTAGAATGAATGTAACGATAAGCTCAAGAGACAACACTGTGCATTGTTTCCTACGTGGTGCATTGTGTGGTGCAGTGTCTCATATCAATCGTGTGAATCATGGAGCTCCACTAGCACTCCTGGGGAGCTTGCCACAGTTTAAGTTCTGCGGGAACACGTCCTAAGATGCATCCTGTTCCACGGTCACCAGTTGTACAAACACTGGGAGGCCAATTTGAACCGTTACTGCAATACTTGAGCAACTAACTTTGAATTATATTTTGATAATAAAATGGTTTCCTTTACCTCCAAAAATCTTTTCTTCTGTTTGTTTGAGAATAGTATGACTTGCATACAAATCTTTGTGGAAGTGAGTGAATGTCTAGACTGCCTTTTCACCGATTCCTTCTTCCAGAGAGCTGTAATTTGTCCCATGTAATTAGGGTAAGTTAATTTTGGCAAGGATGCACAGATATTATCTGATATCATATTTTGTAATCCTCCATTTAGCAGGATGCCCAAGTACTTCAAATGTTTTGGGAGCCAACAAGATAGCTTCTCATCCAGTGTTATGCTGGGACTGTTTCAGGAAAGCCGATGAACTTGAAGTTTTATAACAAATTTATTCTATAAATGTATAATGGTCCAAAGGGATGTATGAGGTTAATTACAGTCTATATTCAGTTTTTTTAACAAATATTTATCTATCTATACAAAACATGAGAGGGAAAGCTGCAAGTTCTTTCATAAGTGAACTTTACAATGGTCCTTTCATTAGAAAGTTATTTGGCTTTGTGCCAATAATCTTTTACTCTTTTTCTAATCCTTAATTAATCCTTTTTATAAACAATTTACACTCAGCATATTCTGCTGAGGCGAAGTCTTTTGTCTGTGTATATGCATCACAAGAAGATCTTCTGCATTTAGGCCAATACCATCATACAATAGGAACCTAAATCCATATTTAGGTACCTCGATAAAAATGACTCGACTTGCAGAGGTGCCGAGCATGGACAGCTCCTCTTGGAATCATCAACACTTTGCAAATGCTTAGCACTTCTCAAAGCTAGTGCTAAATAAGGATCTCCTTGTTTAACTTTAGGCACCCACTTCTGAAAGTTTTGGCCTTAGTGCTCTAAAACTTATGAATTTCTCAGATAAAATTATAACATGCTCCTTGTTGAAATACATCAATACGAGTGAGAGGAAATTGAAAATACACCATTTTCTCCCTAGCAATGCTAGGTCTTTAACTAAAAATCACAAAGAAAAATCTATCCCTTTTATATGCACGTAGATTCAAAAAGGAATTATAAAATATACTGTGAGATGTCCAGAGTTTTTCTTGCAAGGCAAAGAGCTAACTGCACTGTTTCCCCAGAAACTTTAAAAAGCAAATACTGTAGTAATTTTAGAGCTAGATTTTATACACACAGTATTCATTTGATCCTGCACATTCAAATGTGATATGCAATTTTGGGACATTATCATTTGTACATGTACATGACAAAATGGGCACATGAAAAATCCATTTTTAAATTTAATTTGTGCATGTATACATTCTAACATTTATATGCAGATCTGGTAGCACATATGCAGCTCCAAATACACTAGCAATTTAAACATGGGAAGTATTAAGGAGGCCTGGTTGAAGCCCCTTTGAAACTATAACTCATACAGTCAATGGAATTCTAGTTCCAAGTCCTCCAGTCCAAGAAAGCACAATTGGATGCTTATAGTTCAGCAGTTTCCTTAATCAGCAGCCTTTGGCAAGAATGGGAATTCTGCCACAGTAAGGAATGCAAAAAAACCACCCAGGTTGATGGCTCGATATTAACAAAAGATAAACAGTGGAGGAAGCTAAAGAATAATATACATTTGACTTACCACAAGAGCAGCACGTGAAGCAGTTGGTATGATAGAGGTTACCCATTGCTTGGCATGCCTGGCTTGCTCCGTACACACCCTTTCCACATTTTATACAAATACCTACAGAAAAAAAAAGACAACAAGCGTTAGGATCCTCAGAAGTTCACAAAAGCTGACTGATTTATAAAGGCGGCTGACTCCCTATTCCCTGCCTTTTGTATTCTAATCGCTGTCTCCCCTGCAGTCCCTTCACATCTGATGAAGTGAAGCCACTGCTTACAAAATCTGATTTAGTTAGTGCAAATCTATCCTTCCTTCTGTCTAATTTATAAACACTCCCTGTGCTTCCACTGGGCTCCAAAACAGTGACCAGTTGTCTTGAACAGAACCCAGGCACCAAAGTCTAAGGCAGGTACCTTGAGTGAAACAAGCACATGAAAAGTAACACATGAAGAAAGCAAAAAATCCTCAGTGCAGGTGGTGGTGAAACATAGCTCAGAGAATCGTGCTGGCTAAACAAAGCAAAAAAATCCCAGGACAGTAGGTGAAAGTAAAAGGGAACAAGATATCCAAATGTCCTCAGGAAAGAACTATGTGCAAATAAACAAGTTGGTGAGATCTTCTGTACACTGCAAGTGACCTTAACCCAAAATGTTACATTCAGTATTACTAATAAAATTATCTAGTTGATCAAATCACATCAAAGAAAGATACTGCTAGATTAACACAAGATGAACAGTGGAAGGAAGCCACAGAATAGTGTAGATTTGATTTAGCACAAGAGCAAGAAAAACGTTGGGATTTTTTTCTCTCCAGTAAGTAACTAACATATGAATGGTGGTCCATTAAAATGATTTAAAGATATAATACTGTTTAATAACATTTCTTTTTTTCCATTATTAGCCATATGTAGCCATTATTCACCACATGGCTTTTAGGATAACAAAAAGGCAAGGTATTTCTAATAGGAATGGAGTGACTGTAGATATCCTGAGGCATCCTCAGTTGTTCTTCTAGACCAGGGGCTTCCAACCTTTTTGAATGTGGGGCCGGATCACGAACTTTTTTATCACCCAGTGGGCCGGCGAGCCATATTCAAAGACCTCACAGGAAGCGGTATCACATCACCCCCCTGAAATGGAACTACAGTGTTTATACTTTTGTTTCCCGTCGCAGAACCTCGGGCCTCAGAAAACAGCTTGGAGGGTCACATGGCGGCCCGCGGGCGGTATGTTGGACAAACCTGCCCTAGACAGACAGTTTGATTAAATTTAAAGGGACAGTGAAAGGTAAAACAAAACGAACAAAACAGATATTTTGGGAGCCACCCCTCCCCACCAAGTTCTCTTGCCAGGGTTATAGATCAGCACACTAAAATGGAAAGTGTTTTATAAACTGCATTTGTTTTTCAGCCTTTACACTTACTATCACTGACTCCACCCATCTAAGATCATGAAAACAAACGGGTCACATTCATCTTTGTTATCTGATGTTGTTGCAGTAGCCCTAGGCTTTGAGTTTTGGATTATAAACATTGCAGGGGAATATTTAAACAGTAACAACAATTTAGTTTCAATGAAATAATACAAAAGAGTTTCCCTATTGAAAACATTCTGTAAAACCTTTTACAGAACCCAGGGCTGCCTATACACGTGCTTGGGGGTGGGGAGAGGGCATTGTAATTAGAGTGGTTCCCGAATAGCTGCTCTAATTAAAATAGCTCACTGTCACGTGTATTAAGCCCCAATGTGTTTTAAAATGGCCACAAGACACTTCATTTGATGGGGTTTAGATAAAATGCCCCGACGACCATTTAAAAATGCGTGCGGGGCTTAAGGCAGACAAGGTTCCTTGGGTGAATTTGATGTGTTTTATTAGACCAACCCAAATGACTGGAGAATAGTTATTAAGCAAGCTTTCGGGTTCAAAAACCCTTCGTCAGGCTAAGGAAGCTGCAGCAGTTGGTGTGTGCTCTTCCTGGATGGAAGCAGGGCTTAATACACATGACGGCGAGGTGATGCTGGAGCATTCTATTTAGAACACAGAGCAGACTTGATTAATCGAGTCTGCTCCGACACATTCTAGTTAGAACGTAAACGAGCACATGTATAGGCAGCCTAAGTTTTGGATCTCAATATTGTACTAGACGAGGTTCTTTAAATGTCAATGTCACCAAAGGTCAATGCCAGAAGTTACACGTGCTGTCCAAAATCCAGGTAAACCATCTTTAAACTGCCTGCATACAGGTCTACCAAGCTGTACATAAAATATGTAAGAAAATATTTTAATTATGAAGTTTGATTTAATACAGTGAATGAGAATGTTTAACATATTTGCTATCTTGTCAAAACTCCCTAACCAAAGGTTCTGAAGAGTAGGAACACTCTTATTTACTATCAGTTAATGATTCATTGGCTGATGAAAGTTAGTTATTGATCACTGTTGAACATTTTGATCCAAAAGTGCAGCATTTTACATTACATAGTAACAACTGTACGACAGAGGCAGTGTCAGGGCATCAAGTTAACCAGTGAAACCTCCATCTGCCCAAACAGATACTATGAACTCTAGAACAAACATGGTCCTTTGTGTCCTTGCAATTCCATCAAGGCATCCTGGGGCTGCAGGGGTTACACATACAACACAGAGCATTTTTGAAATGGACAGGCTGTTATTATAGCCTAAGGTCTTTCAATTGCTTTTTTTGATAAAAGACCCAGGCAAGAACAACCCTTTCAGAGTTTGACACTACTACCTGCAATCTGCACCCATTTTGTCCACCCTTTCATGACATTTGTGGACCTCTGAATGATTGTCACAGACATTTCATATGGAGGCAGACTATCCATGTATTAGGACGCCTTTCTTCTCTTTCTCCAATTATTTTTACTCTAGAAATTGCAAAAATTCACATTCTGCCTTTTCCTGAAATGCATGTCAGAAATCTCACACACAAATTCTAGTCAATGCCAGACCTACTACAGCCAGGAACCATTTGGGCCTATAAAAACTATCGCCTCATTTGTCTGGACCAGGAGAAGCACGTGAATTATAGAGTTATGAATGCATTGCTTATTCTGCCCTCCCCACCAAATGATTCATTATGAGCAGCTGTCTGTTTGTTAGTTTGTTTTCTCTAAAAGATTGGTTGTTAATTGCAGGACTGAATGACCACAGAGATGACTGGAATTCTAAACAGACTGTCTGTATAATTCCAATAATATATTTTTAAAAATATGTATGCAGCAAACATACAGGCAGCTGTGGTGTGATCTCATAATGTTCTGGAAAAAATCACTAATTTCATGGCCATTTATGATCAGTTTTTCCATTAATTGGAATCCAGGCTATATGCTGTTGGCTTGGTAAGAGGCCATAGGTAACAGCAACATCACTTATGTTTCAAATTTATTTCCTATGCCTTTTTTAAAAAAAAAGTGTAGTATTACAGAACAAGCATATCTCTTTCCTATAATTTTCTTTTATGTTATTGTTTGAATCCGTTTTTTCAAGCCTTCATATAATTCATATGCTTTTCCTGTATATCCTTCCCAGCAATGCCATTAGTCAACATATTAGATATAATCTTCATTTGTAGCCATGGAATTTTTAGTGCAGCTCATGGTGGAATGAAGCGAGAGGACAAAGTGCCTTTATGCTCTGTCCTCATACAAGGTCCACCCTAGGATACATTCGAGCACCTTTAGGGTTGTTCTAATTTATGCCAGCTACCATGCTGTTGCACTATACTTCTTCTCTCAGCCCACCCCCAAATTCCTATCCCCCTCTACCTCCTCCCCTGTCCCCGGCGCAACCTTCCGGGTTGGCCAAAAAACAAGGGGAGGCATAGGAGACATTAAACGGACTCTTCACTGCTCATGCAGAGGGCATCTTCCATTATCCAGATCTGGATTAAGAGTTGTTTTGCGCTAACAAGCTGCTACAAGGCCATTAGTTCCTAAACTGAAGCTGTCAGTAACCAGCTCCTTCTTCTGTAATCTGAGAATCCAACAGTAAGGAAAGATAACAGTTCATTAACATGAAAACCATTCCAGTTGCACACATGAGAAATACAGACAAACTGTAGGAGGATCTCAGAAGCCCTAGTAATTTGGTATATATCTTTATCTAGGAAGAATCTTGCCTGGTGCTGTGTGTAGAAGTGTTACTGTATTAGCATAAAGGTTTTGCTGACATGGGATGGCAGAGTTGTGTGCCTTATGGGCGGTTACATATTCTTGAACTCAGACTAAGATATCTGCCTGAAGATTAGCATAAAATAAAGGCAGGGAATAGACAAACCTATACACACAATGAACCCCAGCAAAAACCAAAACAAAACAAGAAACCGCACTGAAACAATTAATGCTGAAAGATAGGAAACAGAAACTTTCGACTGAAATTAGCAAAGCAAACTTCTCACAGCTCTCCAGATACTAGGAAACTAATTCAGTTCATCATGTTTAATTGCACATGCTTTCTCAAAGTTGTCTTGCTGAGAAAGCAATGATCTGAATGCGACTCAGGCAAGTAACTGTAGGACATGGTCAGTAGTTGCTTTTTAAGCACTCAGAACAGGGACATGTATCGGTGTAATTTGGAAAGGGAAAGTTGCTGAATGAAGAATCATTAAAATGAGCTCAAATTAGCACTATCCCAAACAATGTTTTTAGTTAGCTTCAATGATTCTTTAGTCCAAAGTGAAAAGGTAAAAGATGCATGTAATGTGAGAAAGTACCAACCCCAGCTTGGCAGAGCCCATGTAGACTGGGTAATTCTGTCCTATGCCCAGAGTTCCAAAATGGAGCATAAAATCAAGCCATCCCTGGATTTGGGGAAGATTCAGTTCTGGTTCTCAACATGAGATCTTTAGCTCAGTTCTGCTTCTGATGTGACCCACTCTGCTATCTGGATCACAGATCTATACATAATACCAATTTTCCCAGGCTCCATAAAGTTAGAGAAAACAATGAGCCAAGATTATGTGAAGTCATTGCAGAATTGATGTACTGCTTCCAGTTCAAGGATGTGTAGATGTATGAACACCTTTAGGCCAAGCTTAGTTCTCACACACAGGTCTGTAACTCTACATGGGTCATATTCTGTCCTCATATGCACCC